ACTTGGTTGGCAAATAAAGATTTGATTTGATTTGATTTGATTTGAAAAGTGGCGACAAGCCACCGGATGATCCTAAATCATACCGACCAATCACATTGTTACCATCGTTAGGAAAGCTTTTAGAACGTCTTGTAGTGCCCCGGCTTCTGCCAGGTGGAGTCTAATTTCATGATAGACAATTTGGATTTCCATACTTGTGGAATGTCGGCTTCGACGATTTTCTTGCGATACCAATACCATCCGGATGTACTCTGAACGCGTATGCTGATGACGGCTTATTACTGGTGGAATCTGATACTAGGGCGGGGCTTGAGAGATTAGCCAATAGATGTTTGAACTTGATATCTCAATGGGGTGAACGTAATCGCTTAACTTTTGCACCCAACAAAACCTTCCAGCTACTTTTAAAAGGTAACCTCAAATCACCGCCGAGCATTAGATTTGACAATGTTACTGTAAAAAATAAAACCACAGTGTGTTATCTAGGATTAGTTTTAGAAAGAAACTTTTCATTTATCGAACATATTAAAATAGTTAATGAAAAGTCTAAAAAGAGTTTCTGTGCATTGACAAGGATATCAACTGCGACATGGGGTCTATCATTTAATACATTAAAGATCATATACGGAGCTACTTATTTAGGTTCTATGTGCTATGGTGCACCTGTATGGGCCGATAGGGCGACCGTAGGCGCTGTCCGTCGCAAACTGTTACAAGGCCAACGACTTGCACTGATATTCTTGTATAAGGCATATAGGACGGTTAGCACTGAGGCTTTGCCGGTGTTGGCGGTTGTGCTTCCGGTCGATCTCGAGGTGCAGAGACGTGCAGCCATGTACTATTCAAGACAACAAAACATGGAATGCGATTTTTTGGGCGCGCGGGATCGCGGTAAAATTACAAGATTGCTTCAACAGCAGCCCGATGTCTATAATGACCTCATAGACGAATGGCAACAACGCTGGGATGAATCATCCAAGGGGCGCCATCTTTACCAATTCTTTCCATCTGTTCGCGAACGGTTGTCGAGGATATGGCTTGAGGTGGATCACTGTGTCGCTCAATTTCTTACGGGTCATGGTAACTTTAAGAGCTAGCTTTATTCATTTAAATTAGTCGAGTCACCATTGTGTCAATGCTCAACAAATAACTCTCACTATGAACAGTCTGCTAATAATATCCTCTGGGAATGTAGTCTTTGGTATAATGAACGTAATATAATGCTGAATAGCTTGCAGGTGACATCTGGGGCGGTATACTATGGGGATCTTGTGTCAACTAGGGTGAATTTCCGTGCGTTTAGGCGATTCTGCCATACATATTATAGAAATCAAACATAGCTCACGTAGGACCCGTAATATTTGTGGCCGTGGTGCTTCCCTGTTTATAAGGGTGTATGCCCATTTTACTTCATTTTGTCTTCCGCTTTGCTAAGGAGGGAAGTGGATTTACTGTATTTCCAACTCCTCCAATTTTCTTCTGATTAATTTCGTTGCGGGTTCCAAGACAGTTTAATTTCTTCCTGGGACTTCCCGAGTGTCATAACTCGGTGTGTTCGTGGGTCACTGCTGTGGATCCTGGTGTACAGGAGTTACAGTGGTGGGCGTGTGGGTGGGATTAGTGACCTCTCGCAAATGGGGGCCCCAGGATAAGGTATTATCAATGTAAATCCCTAGATTTTTAACACAGGTACTCATTGGTAGTGCAGTACCGTTGAACATTATATTCGGTAATTGTGACCAGTCTATTCTTGATACCATCCCGGGACTGCCCACAACAATAAGTTGGGTCTTAGACGGATTCACTACAACTCCATACTCATTGCTCCAGTCACACACGCGCGCCAGGTCTAGACTAATAGTTGAAAAGGCTTCAGATAATTGATGTAACGGTGCTTGTGTATATATTTGAAAATCATCTGCATAAAGGTGGTAGGATGAGGCTAATGACTTAGTGATAGAGTTTATAAATATAGTGAAAAGTAGAGGAGATAAAACCCCACCCTGTGGGACGCCAGCAGACGTTTTGCACCAAGATGAAAAAGATTCTTCAAGGCGCACACGCTGCTTTCGACCAAACAGGTAACTTTGAAACCAATCAGTTACTGTTGGAGATATGTTAATAGAGCGCAATATGGCCAGCAAGATGTGGAAATGTACACTATTAAAAGCATTGCTAAAGTCCAGTAAGGAAAGAACTGTGAGTTTTTTATTTTCCATTCCAAGCCTGATGTCGTCAGTAACATTGATCAACGCACTTGCCGTACTATGACCCGCATGAAAACCTGACTGGAAAGGGCTTAGGAGTTGGTTTTTATTAAGGAATGAATTTAACTGGATGTGAACAAGACGTTCAAGGACTTTTGAAAGGAAATGGAGCGATACTCGGAGAAGGATGCCGGATTCTTCTTTTTAGGTAGTGGGATAAGTAGTGCTTCTTTCCATGCCTCCGGAAAAGTACTAGCAAAAAGGGAGTAATTTAGGATATGACATATTGTAGGTAATAGTTCATCAAGAATTGGATGGATCATGTTACGGCTTATGCAATCGCTTCCAACAGCATTGGAATTTATGGACATAATACACTCTTTAACACCACAAGCAGTTAATTGATTAAAACAGAACGGTGGGTAATTAGGAGCTGGAAGCGTGGAAAGATATTGTAAGGTATTTGCCTTACTGGTCTGGTTAAATTGAACCTAAGAAGAGAAATGTTGATTTAGCAACTCGATGTCGATTTGGTTGGAATCAGAATGTGAATATGACTTACCAACTCCCAATGTTTTGAGAAACTTCCAAATTTTTGCCGGGTCTCCGTTTTCGACCGAATTGTGAATGTATTGGCGTTGTGATTTCCTACAAGCCTTACTGCAGAGATTTCGGATGGTAATATATTTTTCTCGGTTTATAGGTGTTGGCCGAGATTTAAACTTACTTTTGGCTACAGCTTTTTTAGCTATTAAAGCTTTTATATCGTCTGTTAGCCAAGGTGAGGGTAAATGTTTAAGACAGCCCTGACCGGCGCATGTATATCGTAGAGGCTGGTTAGCTTAGCATTAAATAAATTGATTTTTTCATCGATGGAATTCATTTCTACCAGCAAACTCCAATCGATTCCAGCAGCATCTCGTCGGAGTGTTTCGAGATTCATGTCCCTAAAATTGCGCTGCATAAGGATTTTGGGATTAGGTTTGGGAGGGCGTAGTTTATACGAAAGGAATATCAGGTCATGGTAGGAAAATTCATCAGCTGAGCACTGTCCATGCTTAGCTACTGCATTTAACGAGGAAACGAGTATAAGATCTAGAAGGGACGGAGTAGAATTCAAAGGGAGAATAGACATGTTATAAGACTCGACTGTACTGGTAAGGGAGGAAGAGCGATGGTCATTTTTTATCAGACATGTGTTAAAATCTCCCATAATGATACAGTGATGGTAAGTGTGTGTAAAACAATCTAATAATGATTCAAAGGAGGGCAGAAAATTTATACGAGAGTAGGGAGAATAGTACACACCAAGTAGTAATTTGATGCGAAAGAGCTCCAATTCTAAGAACAGATGCTCACCTGCGTTTGGTGGTGGTGGTTGCGGTGACAAATCTATGATACGATGAGGAATATTATGACGTAGGTATATGGCAACACCTCCACCCACACCATTCGCCCGATCATTTCTTATCAATTGGAAGCCAGGAAGGGAATAAGACGTAGAGGGAAGACATGGTTTTAACCATGACTCCGAAATAAGGATTGCATGAATACTTTTACAGTCAAAGGTAGTCAGCATCTCTGGGAAATGGGCCGGAATACTCTGTGCATTAATGTGGACTACATAAAAGTTTCTGAGAATATCCGAAAAATGTGCCTGTACTGTGTCAGAAAGTGAAGGTATACTCACGAAGCTTCCATTGTGTCTGCTGGCTGATTGAAAACTATCGTCATCACTACTGTTGCTTGAGCTTATCATCGTAGCTGCTGCAAATCTATCGATTTATGTATATATATTTCCACAAATAAATATACTTACAGGATAACGATAAATATTATAAGTCTTTTTGACTATTTTGTCCACCCGCCAGTTGTGTTACTCAGTAAAGTAAAATTTCAAAATATTTACAAATCCAATTCTCAACATTAAGAAAGTTAAAACAAAAATAAATAAAATAAAAATTAAACATTCAAATAAAATAAACAAGAGTGGGAGATTTATCACGCATCATGATATACCTGGTAGTTAATTCTACTGATATGATAAATCAATCGAAAAAAATACAAAACAAACTAAACGCGAATGTCAGTAGCAGAAAGAATAACTAACTGCGTGAACGCAGCGGATAATGTGTCACAGATCGTATTCTGTCAAACTGTCAAGTTAATCAAAACAAATCGACCTTGAGTTTGTTCATTTTGAATCAATTTAGATTAGAAAAGTTGAGGTATTTCTATATTATAATAGTTTTTATAACTTAACAGCTTGTACACTAAAACAAAAGACAACTTTAAATTCGGGTAGCAAGAAAACTATGAACTAAGTTAATACCTGAACGTTATGCAATAATCGAAACAAACATGCGGCATCTATTTCCTGTTTACGGCTCGGCGACTGGATTTCACCGCAGCTTTTTCGGCTGGAACTGCCTTCTGCGTGTCACAGTCAAGCCGATTAAGTTCACTGACTATGCGATGCCGTGTCCCCTTAGGGTCGAGGACATAGATAGGACCCTCACGTGTCCAGCACTTGGAGACACCAAACCGCTCACGTGCAGCCATAAAAACCTCATGTCTGGTTCTGGTTATGAATTCAGACAAAGTGACACCAGACCCCTTGAGTTTTGTTTTAGCAAACCATAATTTGTCCCGAACGGTTGTAAGTTGGAGTTTGACTAGTATAGACTAGTATAGTCTTGGTTTCTTAGCAGCAGTAGGTCTGCCGTGCGCAGAGAAGATTGGGCTGAGAAGAAATGGGCGCTGAAAAAACAATGCGCACAAACTTCGGCTTCGATGAGGCGCACAGGAGGTGGGGCAGCCGACAGCTTGCCAGCATTGTCGGCTTTAGATAAAAGATTAGTGGCGGTGATGGGCGGGCTAGACTTCGCTGCTGGCGATCAAAATTTAAGGGTGAATCCATTTTCTGAATTGGTAAAAATAGTTTTTCACAGATATGTAATATCCGATTTTTTCTATAACAATTATTATATTACCATATACCCCAAATCGTAGGTTAGTGCAGCTCAGGAAACGAGGTCTTTTAGACCAGCCGTCGAGTCTTCTGTTATTAGTGAAGATTCAGATATGCAGCACAGTATGCAATCTATAACAGAAGACCCTGGCCCCTTTACGCATACCTCGAACAACAGTCACAAGTAAGTTTTTATCAAATTTATTTAAAAATGCAAAACATTCTTTTTATAACTAGTAAGGCCGTATAGACGATATTGTTGTATTCTCGTTGCACAACTAAGTAGTAATAATGAATAAACGGTAGTATTTTTCATCAAGTTTTATTCGAGTTACAATCATTAAATTCGAAGATTATTAGAGCTAGATTTAGAAGTATAATGATATACATAATGGAACACTATCGTATACTAGAGATTTAATTTAATAGGAATTAGAGATTGAAATCTGAGCCGCTGTGCTATTTTATTATTGAAGTTTAGTTTGTGTTAATTGTGTTTAATCAATAAAATCAAATTTATATTATCTAATTGTTTGTTACAATTTAGTGCCTGCATCATCCACCCCGCTTCCAAGCAACATACCCAGACCAAGCCGGCGTGTTGTGAGAACCGTTAACTCTGACATGGAACGGTTCTCAAACACAGAAGCCCGAGGCGTAGAAGCGGAGATGACAGCAGCCTAAGCACTAGCAAAGATTGCTGAAGCATTGCTGTCAGTTGGAGATGCGCTTGAGGAAATAGCAAGGAAGATGCTAGAACCTTGATTTTGTTTTTACATTATTATACTATTATTATTAGATATGTAACTTAAACAAATAACATAGTACGGCCACTGCGCGTAAGTACCTACTACATCGACGCGTACACCCCGAGTCGCCGATCAACGCACGCGCCCACCGACGCACACATCGAAGCGGCCGCCCGTTATATAAGCCACCGACCCGACCTGCCCCGGCAGTGCTGTTGCGTACGGCGATGCTTCCACAACTAAGTGGAACTAGGCGGACCAGTAGCTACTTTAGGGCTCACGCATGCGTACAGAGGCGCTTCGTATTCACGAACACCTTCCGGACCGTGCATTAGTACAATACATTGATTCCAGAATAAAAAGTCTGTAGAATACCTCAGTGTTGTTATTTTACACTGGCGACCAACGAGAGGGCGACTCCGACCTACGTAACGAAGTCAGGAAGAATTACAACGTATCCGATAAAGTATGAAGACGCTGTAAGCGAGGTGAAAGCAGAGATGACGACCTTGAGTGATGCACAATTGGGCCACCTCATCAACTCCATTACTTCAGTATCCATGCGCATGGGATCAATGGCCAGTTGCACACATACATTCGATGGATCCCATGGCCAAGAAGACCTGGAAACATTTATTTCAGCAGTAAGCACATTTAAAACTGTTGAAAAAATCGAAGATAGCGAGGCTTTGATGGGCATTCCACTTGTTCTGCATGGAGGATAAAGTAGTTATAACGTTTTTCGTCGTACTACCTGAATCGAGAGACAATAGAACATTACTTGGAATCGGTTTCATACAGGATGCAGGCATGATCATCAACTTACCTCAGTTCACAATGTCATTCATTGAGAGTCCAGATATAGCATGTGAGCTGTACGAAGAAGGATTTATCACATTTTATAAACTTTTGAGTATGGGTGTCGGCGGCAATTTGTTTCGATGGTTTACATCGTACGTGGAAAACAGATGTCAGACTGTTGTACTTAATGGTTATACGTCTAGAAGAACACTTACAAATATTCCTTCGGGCGTCCCGCAAGGATCGCTGTTGGGACCTCTGTTATTTAATATATTCATCAACGATATAGATAACTGCTTCCTAACCTCAAAAATTATTCTTTATGCTGATGACTTGAAAGTAATGAAACAGATAAATAGGGTCCAGGACGCCATAGAACTACAGGAAGATCTCAATAGATTTCAGGCGTACTGCAAAACGAATAAACTGGATTTAAATGTCAATAAATGTTACGTGTGCTCCTTTACACGTAAACATAGCCCAATATTTCAGGTTTACAAATTATTAGATACCCCATTGTCTAGAGTCAGTAACATTAAAGACCTTGGTGTTACTTTTGACTCGAAACTACTGTTTGATACACACATTTATAACATTGTTAGCAAAGCCTCCAAAGCATTGGGATTCCTACTCAGAGTTTCAGCAGACTTTAAAAATATTAAAACAATAAAAATACTTTATTGTTCCCTAGTTCGCAGTCACTTAGAATACTGTTCTCAAGTGTGGAATCCAATGTATAACGTCTATATTGATAGAATAGAGCGCATTCAGAGAAGGTTTTTAGGATATATACAGTATCGTTGTAGTTGCTATTTACCTGATTACGTGACCCGGTGTAAAAAATTTCATATTCTTCCACTCATTGAAAGAAGAAAAATAGCGGATCTGTCGTTTCTATTTGGCATCATGAGAGGAGCGGTTGACTCCTCTGAACTTGTGAGCAAAATTGCTTTAAACGTCCCGACAGCGCATCTTCGACGATTTAACTTGTTGCATGTTCCCATTGTAGATTCTAAGTACAGGCAAAACTCATACATGATCAGAGCGAGTCGCATGTATAATGCAGCATGCCGGAGTGTTGATATCGACATTTTTTCTTCTAGTGTCACTAAATTTAAAAAACAACTGGGCAACGTTTTCTTCGACCAAGCATAACAAACAAATCACATTTATAATAATACCTATGTCTACTGTCCTATCATCCTACCATGTTCAGAGTTGTCTTCATTGTTCTAGCAGTGAAAACTTTTAATTGGCCTTCACCTATTAGTCTTATATCAATTGTAATTCTAGCTGTAAGTTTTCCTAAAATATAAAAATAAAAATAAAATAAAATTTATACCCAAAGAGGAAACTGTCGCTATGAGTGAAATATTCAACAGTGTCAAAGTACCCTCTCCGATATCCTCTTTGACAGATACACCACCAAGCTCACCAACAGCCCACGATGAAGCTTCTGTAAATGCACTATCAGTGTCAGAAGAACCTACAACTAGCAAAAAAAGCGTTTCAGCAGACTAACTCATATAGGCTGGAGAAAATAGATATGCCAATAACGTCACCATCTAAACGACCTAAGCTGTTCGATGGCTATTCACCAGTTCTGGACCAACTTTGGCGCGGCTCTGAAATTGCTATCCACGAAGCAAGTGTTACTCTATCCCCTCACTCTCATAGTCTCTTTGACGGAAACTTGGACTAGACATTGAATATTGACGCATTTGAAATTTGCAGCGACAGTATTACCTCAGGCCAAGAGAGTGACCTCCAAGAACTTCTGTTTGAGTTTGCTAATCTATTCCAGTCAAACGGCAACCTGTGAATTATGTCCAACACAGTATTAGCACTGGTAATCACGAGCCGATTGCTGTGACACCGTACAGACTTTCACCTGCACGTAAAGAAATACTCAGGCAAGAAATGGAAATGATGATAGAAGAAGGAGTTATAGAAAGCTGTGTTTCACCATTGGCAGCGCCAGTAGTGATGGTACCCAAGAAGAATGGTGAGATAAGAGTGTGTGTGGTTTATAGAAGGCTAAATTCAATCACCATTCCTGATACATACCCTATGCCACGTATGGATGATCTTCTGCAAGAGGCAAAACCGACACCATACATGACCTCTTTAGATCTGAAGGCTGGCTACTGGCAAGTGAGCATTAGAGAAGAAGACCAAGAGAAAACCGCATTTATCTGCCCATTCGGTACATATAAGTTTAAACGCATGCCGTTTGGTTTGCGGAATGCACCCGCAACATTCCAGCGGTTAATCGACGGATTTCGTACTGGAGTGGAAGGTGTTAAGATGTTAGCCTACCTGGATGACCTCATCGTCCTCTCCACCTCCTTTATGAGCCACCTTACTGATCTGAGAGAAGTGTTCAGGCAGATGAGAGTATATAACCTGACCGTCAACAAGAAGAAATGTAACTTTGTCGTTGCAAGGATAAAGTACTTGGGTCACTATATTACTCCTGAAGGATTACATGTTGTCCCCGAGAAAGCAACTATGCAATCGGTGCCGTTTTGGTCCAGGGGGAGGGTTCAGAAGAACACCCCGTAGAATACGCCAGTCGACTACTTACTTCGTCTGAGAAAAATTACTCAACCACTGAACGCAAAGCACTTGCAGTAGTTTGGACATTAAACAAATTCCGTGGCTACGTGGAAGGAGTATCCGTGACCGTGGTTACCGATCACCAAGCACTAAAATGGTTAATGAGTATCAAGACGCCTACGGGAAGGTTAGCACGATGGGCGTTACTATTGCAAGCCTACGATGTCACTATTGCATACTCACCTGGAAAAACGAATGTGGTAGCCGACACACTTTCACGTCCTCCGTGTACTAAAGAGCTCGAAAAGGATTGCGGGATTTGCTCAGTTTCTATATATATACCAACACGTAATCCCAGAGAAATCAGAGAAGAACAACTGAAGGACGAGTATATTCGGAAGATAGTAACGGTTCTAGAAGATAGGTAAGAAAGAAAGAACAAGAAGGTAAATAATCATGAAGATGCTGCTTATTGGAGCAACAAGGGATACATAATGAACAATGGGCTTCTTTATCGTTACAACCCTAATGCTGATTCAGATGAAGCTCAGCTAATCGCTCCTGAGCACGAATGGTCCAATATATTGTCTGCATACCACGACAATCCTATGGCAGGACACTATGGAGCAGAAAAAATATTTCAAAGAATTTCGCAGCGCTACTGTTGGAAGGGGATGCAAAAATATATAGAAGGTTACGTGAGAAATTGCATTACGTGTCAGCGATATAAACCTTCCAACATGAAACTGGCTGGATTGCTGCAAACTTCTGCAATGAACAAAATCCATTCCATCCTCATATCAATTGGCACTCCCCGAGACTCCTCAGACTATCATTGGAGTCTATCATTCCTCTGCACTTGTGCCTTGCCAGGGTAATGTAGCTGATTTACCCAAGCCCACACAACCAATTAGAAAGAGAGGTCGACCTAGGAAAAACCCACGATTATAGCGTTGCTGCACCAGACCGTCTCCTCGTCGGGACGTCATCGGATCCGGAGGGGGAGAATGTAACGTAAACAAATAACATCGTACGGCCATTGCGCGTAGGTACCTACTACATCGACGAGTACACCCCGAGTCGCCAATCAACGCACGCGCCCACCGACGCACACATCGAAGCGGCCGCCCGTTATATAAGCCACCGACCCGACCTGCCCTGGCTACGCGCTCGCCGAGAAAGAACGTCTCCACACACTTCACTCGCTCGCCGCACGGATCAAACATCACCCAGAAGACTCGGCCACCGGCCGTTTTGATCGCGGCTGCACGCGCGTCCCCGGGGTGTTCGTCGAATAGAAAATCAGTGCTAATATAATAGCGGGTCGACCGCTGCCCTTCGGGTTTTTAGCAGTGAATTCTTTTTTTTTATTCGACTACCCTCCGAACTCCGTGTCGCCCGGAAAAACCACCACTGTAACCAAAGGCTGGCCGTGCCGAGGTCCACTACCAGCCCTACAAAGGGCAATTAACCACCCACATCGCGAGGCGCAAATGTCCCCCGCGCTCCGCTGGCTCGAGCGCCGTCCGCGCTCGCTAGCGTTGAGCGCGCGGGTACACATCGCGCTCCCGCGCCACAAACGGAAGCACCTGCGCGTCGACCACGTCGGATGACCCCCCTTCAAACCTCCCGCGCATCATACCGCGAGGAAAGAAGGTCGGAGTCTGCCTCCAGCGACTGCTCCGCGACGCGCCATGTAGGAGCCGCCCCGCCGCGTCACTCGGCCATGGAATCGCCGGCCCCTAGGACACTGTGCTCCTCCCCCTCCATAGAATCCCTTCACTCTGTGGGGGGATCGCAGGAGGATACCCCCCGCTCGCCTCCGCTTTCACCCACACGCGCCCTATCGCCGCACAAAACGGTAAAAAGTACCGTGCACCATCCCGCTGGAACACAAGCCATGGACACGGACGTCCCACCGCCGCCAAACTCTGCACGCCGACAGCGCAGCCCAGAGGAAGAGGAGGACGCTGACCAAACAAAGCGCCACTGCCCAGCCCCCCGCGCGCGGTCCCCGCTATTTCAGCGCGACCCGCGGGTGGCTAGAAGGCAGGAACAGGACGAGGGAAGGCAAGTGGTCACCTACACGGGGGCCGTGCTGTCCCCGCCGCCCGCCACCGCTACTGCAACAAGCACCGTGACACCTGCCGCCGCCGCTACGAACACAACGGCACAGGAGCCAAAGCGCCGTTACCCACCGATCGTCGTGGAGCACCTGCCAAACTGGGCTACCCATATGCGGGAGCTGAAACAAAGACTCGGCAGGGCGGCAAACGCCCGCCCATACGGAAGGGGCATTAGATTTACCCCAAAGGAAGACCACGAATACCGACTCGTCCAGCGGTACCTGACGGCGCTGGAGAAGAGCGAGGGTGTGTCGTGGTTCACCTACTCCCTACCGGAGGAGCGTAGCTTAAAGGTGGCCATACGTGGGCTGCCAAGTAACGCTACGCCGGAAGGGGTGGAGCAAGAGCTACGAGACTTGGGCTACGACCCCGAATACGTTAGAAATATTCGGGGTCGCGGCGACCGACCAGGGTGCATCCTCCTGGCTATATTGAAAAGGACTCCAAACATCACGCCGGGGATATACGAGGTAGATGAGATGTTAGGTATCCCCGGCGTAAAAATAGAAGCCTGGCGGGGAAAGAAGCGACCTGCACAGTGCCACCGCTGTCAAAAGTTCAGGCACTCAAGCCACCAGTGCCACAGAAGGCAGGCTTGCGTGCGATGCGGCGGTGAGCACCCCGCAGCCGACTGCCCGCGGCAACGAGAGGAGCCCGCCACCTGCGCAAACTGCGGGGGGGAGCACCCCGCGAACAACACACACTGCCCCGTCTTCCAACGCGAGCTGCGTAAAAAGAAGGCGGGACGGTCGCCGTCACCGGCGAGTCGCGCCAGGGGCCGACACCGATGAACGCACAGCCCACAGGGGAGAAGGCACAGGGAGAAGGGGAATCGCTCATGGCGGCAGCGAACCCTCCACCGCCCCGAGGAACCTCCACCTCTTCTAAAAGAGGGCGAAGAAAGAGGGGTGGAAAGAAAGGCAAGCCACACACCGCCCCCACAAACGATACCAGAGCTGACCTTATCGCGGAGAAGTCGTCCGCCGGTCGGCCCACCTTACCTCTAGCCACCGCCACTGCCCCCCTCCTCCAAGTGAGGGCGACGGAGAGGGCGACTAGAAAAAACGCCAGCACCCATAGGCGGACGGCGGTTACAAATACGGAAGACAAAAAGGCCGAAATACAGGCCGTTATAATGTGCATTATGCAGGTGGTGTTAGCAGCGATCAACACCGATCAAGACGCGACCACCATCCTGCATAACACCCTTAAGGGTATAGCCGATTTGCTAGCTAAGCAACATGGTTGATAGGCCCTTGAGGGTGGTACATTGGAACGCCCGCGGCCTCGCAAAAAAGGTCGTGCTACTTCGCCCTCTACTGCAGGAACAAGACATCGACGTGGCGCTTATAAGCGAGACGCTCCTGGGACCTGCAGACAAACCGAAATTCCCGGGATACCTCGTTTATCGGAGGGACGAGCGATCGACCAACAACGCTGCCTACCGTGGTCTGGCAGTACTAGTCAAAAGGAAAATCGTACACCAAATACTTCCAACAACAGCCTATAACTCCATATCCACGCTGGGAGTGGAGCTGTACATGGGCGTACGACTCCACAGAGAGGCAGAGGCCCGAGGTTTAACAGTCGCCGGTCCGGAGGCACCCACACACTACCCGGACCACCTCGCACACCCACCAGACGTATTGGACATCATCATCCATAACGACGAGTGCTGCCGGATCACACAACAGGTACTAGACGACGAGCTGCAGTCGGATCATCAACCCGTGCTCGTCGTCCTATCCGAGACACCTGCGCGGACCGTCCCTCCCGCGCCACGTCAGAAAACGGACTGGAACACCTTCAGGGAGACGTTGGAGACCACTACACCAACTCGGCCGATCAACTCCGCAGCCGATGTAGAAGGACTAGCAGCCGAACTACGGGACAGCATAAGAGGCGCCCTCGAGTCGGCTAGAAGACACAGCACACACACCCAGGGGCGCTTGTCACCCCTGCCGGCTCACTTGAGTTCGCTGATAGCCGACAAACGGCGCCTCCGCAGACAGTGGCAGTACTCGCGCTGCCCCACGATGAAGACCCACCTGAACCGGCTTGTGGAGAGAGTGAAAACCGAGTTGCGCACTCACACCACCGAGAACTGGGACAGATACATAGAGGAGATCACCGACGAGTGGCCCTCCGTACACCGCCTATGCCGCCGCCTCACGAACACCCCAGCTCCGGTGCGCCCACTACTACACGCAGACGGGGCCCCCAGGTACCGAGCAGCAGACCGGGCCGTGATCTTCGCAGAGCACCTCGAACGCCAGTTCAGACCGAACCCGACCGCGGACGGGACGCACACCGAAACAGTCGAGAAACACCTTCGAGAGTACTTCGCTACGCCGATAGCTCCCGAAGAAGATCCCATATTCTTCTCCCCGGCAGCGGTCAGGACCGCCATACGCCGTACCAAGCCTAGAAAGGCCCCAGGCGCAGACGGCATTACCAACAAAGCGCTGCGCCACCTGCCACACAAGACAGTAGCCGCGTTGGCGCGCCTGTTTAGCGGCGTTACGCGCACAGGACACTTCTCAAGTGAACACTTCAGTGTCTGGCACGCCGGGCTGCTCTACAAACTGTCGACGTCACCGACGACCCGGCGAGTAGAGAAGTGGTCTCCTCCTTCCTGTCACACCGGCATTCCGAGTGGTGGTGGAGGGGGAGCTATCTGCCCCCCGCGCCGTGGAAGCCGGCGTCCCCCAAGGGAGCTGCCTATCGCCTGTGTTATACACGCGATACACCGACGACATACCTACAACCGAGGGGGCCGTATTAGCGCTGTACGCCGACGACGCGGCGAACATAACAACGAGTCTAAACATCGACCACGCCGCGATCAAAATGCAGCGCACCTTAGACCTTCTGCCCCCCTTTTTGTTTTTTTTTTTTTTTTCCGTGCGGAAATCCCCTCGGATACCACCTGTCGGTGGCATGTCGGACTCGAACCGACTAAAACCGCACGCCTTCGCCGGGTACTAATAGCCGGGGAACCAGGTATACCCTAGAAAGGAAGTCCCCGACATACCTCGGGTCATCTACAGACGAGTAGACGACCCCCCCCCCCGTGTGGGAACCCCATGTTCCCTGTGCTCCCTGGAAGCGAGCGCGCTTCGCAACGCGCTCGCCGCCACCCCGGCCTGCTTCTGCTAGGGTGACAGATGGCCTCACCTGTCACCCCCAGGCCTGCGCTTATGGAGGACGGAGGTCGTTCTGCGACCTCCGGCGCCTGAGTCGCCTGCGCTGCCTGGCCCGTGCCCGGGCCTGGCGGGCCGGGAGAGTTCTAAACCTCTCCCGGTCCCGCTCCGCCGTTGGCTGTCGCAATGGCGACTGTCGGTCAACGTGGGAAAGACACAGGCGATAGCTTTCACCCAAACCCGGAAGCTCCCACCACCACTCCAACTACAGGACGAACAAATCCCGTGGAGGAGCACAGTCTCATACCTAGGCATCACCATAGACCGCCGTCTCACTATGGCATCACACGTCCGTAGCACGGTCGCGCGAGTAAGGGCAACCCGCGCCCTACTACGTCCAGTGTTCTCGTCTCGCCTCCCTCTGCGAACAAAACTGAGTGTGTACAAAATATATGTACGCACTCAGCTCACTTACGCCGCCCCATCATGGTTCGCCCTCACGAGCGAGTCGAGCCGCCGCCTGTTACGCGCACAACAGTCGCTGGCACTGCGTGACGTAACGCAGGCTCCTCGCTACGTGAAAAACGATGTTATCCAGAAGGACCTCAA